ACCACCCCTGGACACTTTTAAGTGAACATACATGTGTTTAAATTTTGTTAAATACATCCTTTTTCTTTTTAACTACAATTTTTACTCATTATTTTCCTGAGTCCTATTTAGGTGAAAGTGAATTCAAACAAAACACAACCACCTTTTTTTTTCCAGTTGTTTCACAACGACTGATGATTTTAACAGCCATTTCCCTCTCCAAAAGCTGAACAATTAAGCAATTCCCACGCTGCTTTGGTAGGTTTGTGGACACACACAGTCCAGCTGCTTCTTCATTGCCTGGAATTGAAGAGAGCACAAAGCACACCTTGTCCTTCAATGTGTGTGGTGCTTAAAGCCATTTTGGTAAAGTTTGGTGTATTTTCTATATATTTTTATTTGAAAAAACATTTACAGCTTTGCCATACCATGCATCTGTTCTTCATTAATGGTCATTAACAGCTGCTGCTTTAGTGAGCAGGGCCAGGGAGTCCAGCACTATTTCCTTTTCACATTATGAAGAAATTAAACTTTCTCTTAGTGAAGATGAACCCCTAATTAAAGCTTATTTTACAATGTTAATAACATTTTTCTCCCACCAAAACTTTGTGTGTTCGGGTCACAGACTCAAGTTCTGCACCAATATTCTTCAAAACGAGGCTTCGTGCTCATCTTCCAGCATCCTTTTCTGAAAATGAGTAACTTTTCAGTAGGTAACTATAAATTAGATTTTTAACAGGTATCATTTTGAACAGTGATTCTTCTTGAAACTTTATTAAATCCAGTTTTAAATGGCAGAATCCAGTTATAGAGGCAGGTTTTCCCCCTCGCTGTGGTCCTGCTCCCAGTCCCATTGGGTAAAAGGCACTTGCAAGCCCATCCTGCCCTGGCAGAGAGCATGGCCAGGGGGGAGCAGCTCCGTTTCAGGCAAAAACACAAATATTTTCCTTTAAAGGTAGAAACACACAGACTCCCCAAGCCAAATCCCTCTTCTCAGAAGCATCTTCAGCTGCTAAATCATACGGTGCACGTAGCATCTGCGTTACCTACAGAACTCTCCTTCACCCAACCCTGCAAAACAGCCAAACGTGTTAAAAATAAATGTAGAGGGAATAATTGAGGAGCAAAACCCCCCTGAACAAAGTCAGGTCACCTCCACCTGCGTATCGGTTGCTCTACTATTTTAAAGTCAAATAAATTAAATCCCACTTCCCAGCCATCGTCCCCAGGCTTCACCCACGCACAGAATTGGGCATATAAAGATCATGCCCACGTATTTGCAGGCTGATTGCCTCCAGGCAACCAAGGAAGCAAACACAACTTATCACCAGTGGACCGTAAGATCTTTAAGCATGATGGATGTGAGCTCAGCGTCACTCTTGCTGGAAGGAAACACAATTATTGAGTCAAGTCAGAACTAAACCCGAATGAAACATAAGTCAAACGGCTTCTTCCAACCAGAACCTAGCTTGAAACAAAGAGAGGGTTCCAAGAGAAACAGTTTATAGGTGTTTCACATTCAAGAATGTCATACAGCAGCAGAGGCAACATTCTTGCTGCACTTGAAGCAGGTGACTCTGATTTTCGAGGCAGAAAGAGCTCGGATAAGAGTCACCGTGACAGGAGATCATCTACCTCCAGCCGCCGGGGTGGGGAACCATCTCCATCTTCTTGCTTCATGCCGCAGCTGAACGGACTCGAGGAGTTACGACCCCTTTGAACTCGTTCTAGGAGAGCTAAAGTAAAGTTCAAAAGTCAAACTGCTGATTAAAGTCTGGAAATACACAACTGCCTACGCCACTGTTCTGCGATTTAATCATCTTTTTATTATCCCTAAAGAGATAGGCCACTCTTGTGGGAATTTATTACAATGGCTGAGACCTGATCAAGAGAAACAGACAGTTCCACTGGGAAGTTCTGTGAATACGACAGGGGAGGGGAAAAAAAAAGTTGTACAAGAGGGAAACTGAGTCACTATTCAGTGAAGCTGGAGAGCCACGTGGGAAGGTGACACTGAGGAGCAGCAGTTCCCCCTCACCTGCCAAAGTCTCTACTACAGTTTTGGCCTCTGGCTGAGACGCAAATTGAGGGCTGTCAGGGCTGTGACTGCCCTGCTGACACTGACGTGACTTTAGTAACGGGCTTGAAGAGACGATTCAAGGTTTGATGAGCAGATGATCCTCTACTAAAACAAAAGTCATCCCACAAAACAGCTGACGTGAAACTCACTCGAAACACAGTCCAAGTCCCTGCCAAGAGCCACTCTCCCAACAGCTCTAATTTTTATATCCAAACTTACGTATCGGTACATTTGATGTTTGAGGGAAGGCAGCAGAGTGTTGAAACGCACACGATGTTCAAGCTGCTCCCACCATCACCAGTCAGCTCTCCAGGTCTGGGCCTCTGCTGTGATTAATTTGTGTCAGACAACACGGAGCTGAGCAAATATGAGCTTTAATGCGCCAAGTTTTACAGTTACAGCTCTGAGCACAGCGCTCTGCCTTCGCACTGGTATTTATCACGGGGATTACATCAGCGTTCAGGCCGTACCAGACATTTTCCAAACCAGCAGCAGAACAGTCTTTGTCCTGAACGTGGAAGCAATTCATAAATTAGTTTCAGAGGTGAAGCTCGGGAGACTGGGCCGCACAGAACTCCCCAGGCAACTGGAAAGATTTAATAATCCAACACTGAGTTTCTATAAACTTCAAACTGTTGCACACACACCTGCTATTGTCCCATCTGTTGACATAACAAATACATCTCTTCTTTATTAGGAACTACAGATATTGACCTGCCAGTGACTCACTTCATCATCCTGTAGACTCATTTCCATCTAAATGATACAGTCTAATTAAACTTGAATTTATTTAATCTTTTTTTATGTGTAGTTAGATATAGTTATTCCAGCAAGTCACTTATTGAAACCCATGTATCTGTCATTTCAGGAAGGGAGCCTTGATTAATGAGCAAACATCCAGCATGAGCAGATTCAGAGTAAAAAGAGTGAGAGACACGCACCAGAGGTTCTACCACGTTGCACGGGGCATCCTACACGGTTACCTTCTGAACTACAGCAGCACGACTACAAATAAAAGGGTTGAGAAAGAGAGGGAAGAGGTGAACCCAGAAGATCGAGTGGTGAACAGATCAAATTTGAGTTGGGATGCCAGGATCTCCATTACAGAAGATCAGGAGAGGAATTCAATGTTGTAAGTCAACAGTCCACGGGACAAGTTGCACGGTACAGACGCTGAAGGCCGATCAACCACCAACGCCGAGTCACTTTGTACTGAAAAGTATCTACACACCAGAATTTGGAGCAGCAGGGAAGGGTGCAATAGCTCCTGAGAAGACAAGAGAAGGCTTGCTACCACTCGACTGGAATTCAAATGCAGTGTTAGTACTTGAATGAATGGCTAAATAAATCATAAATCACACTAAATAAAACTTCTAAGTTATATTCTTCCTAAAGAGCATATTTAATTGCTATTTTTAAAGCTAAGTAATTCTTTACAGATGTTTAAGGAAAAAAAATTAAAAAGGAGTGAGCACCTAACAATAGAAACTCCAAAGAAAGGGTGAGGGACCACCTGACAGTCTTGGGAAGGTCCAGTCTCCCTTCATGACCTGTCCACAATCAACAGCGACGTCCGTTATCAAAGTGCAGGAGATGAAAAATGGGCCTGAGGGAAGATAAGCAGTGACTCAGGTACTGAACATATTTAAAGAACTTCCCTTAGTGCCAAGATGAAAAGGCACACAGAGGTCACAGAACCCAGCAGAAAGATTCAGATAAAGAACGAGGCATGAACTCCTCGTGAAGGCTGCACACCTTTTAAAGACTGAATTTCAGAATCATTTGTGCTGCCAAGAAACACCTCAGGAAAAAACAACTGAACAAGAGAGGAACACATGATGTGGGCAGGGTCTGTAGTTTCATAAGCACCAAATTCACTCAGATGTACTTTAAAAAATGTGTCTGTTCAGAAAGTTCTTGGGATTTATTATACACATTTAATAACAGAGGATACTCAACATTCACGTGTTTGTTGAACTAAGTTTACAAGCACTGTCGCATACAATGAGATTCAGCATATAAGGAAGTGCAGAAGGAAGCTATGTTAGATATCCCCTTCCCTCAGTATCTCCAGAATAGCTGTTGGATTCCAAAACCCTACAGGATGTCAAGTAAAAAGACTAATCAAATATCTACACTGAACTGTGCACATCACACCTACTTCAGATGCAGGACAAAAAAAATAAAATAAGTATTTAAAAGTATGTTCCATTCCTCCTTCCAGAGGAACCTCAGACTTCAGAACTGACTTGATTTCAGAAACAGAGCTTCAATTATGTATTTTTTTAAAAAATTCAACAGTAGCAATCCAGCAAATTTCAAATATGATTATGAAAAAGGCAGCAAACCACCAGGATTCTTCCGATGAGCGTTCAAACCGGTGCTGACGTGGCTAAAGCCTGTAACTCAGTTAATACAAACCTGCCTCGCATTTATTGCAGGACCTTGAAACATTTTACTTGCTATGACAAGCAATTCTCACCAGTAAATAGTTTATTTTAAGTTTATCCTAACAGAGTGCTGACCAGGTAAGACTGTTTTACTCTTGCTTTGCAAGAACACCAATCCAGACACAACAGGAGCATCAGGGAATTAACAAAGGGCTATTTCTGCTACCCCCTAGGACACTTAAAAACCAAAAAGCCCCAATTTTTCAGAAGCCAGCATATTGGATCAAATACTTTTTCGTATCTGTGTATTCATTAACCCTGTACAAAAGAAAATTGATTAGCAAATGTAAATGTTCATATAAAAATAGCCAACATCTGTTTAAATTTAGAAATTTATTTTGTTTAATCCACAAGCTTTATATAGCTTTAGTTAAAAAAACAAAACAAAAACCAAAAAAAACCCAAAACAAAACCAAAAAAACAGTGAAAACATGACAATATCCAAAGTTCAGGTTCCTCAAACTTTCAAAGAGCACATTCTCTGAAAGTTGCTTATACCATTCAGAAGAACCGTAACGAGACAAGATTTATGAATGGGGCAACGACATCTCACAAACAAAATTTATGTAACTGAAGGATTCTTTTTTTTTTTATATATTTTATTTTATTTTTTCTGGGACTGCTGATCATGGAAACTGCCCTTTAAAAAAAAAAAAAGAACATAAAAATACAAATGAAATTCCAGTGTTCCAAATCAACATGTTACATCAATATAAACCCACAGTGTCCTGGTAAACAACATGCTTTCATTTATGTACCATTCTAAACTGCTATTCTTGATTTGCTTTAATGGAGACTATACAGGCAACAGTAGAAAGCATTAAAATAGATGTAATTCCTTGGTAATTCTGCAGTGGTTTTATTTCTGGGCAAGCTTACAAACCACAAAGGTTAGTAGCATAATGTAAACGGAGAGAAAAAAAGAAGTCAAATAAGCCCCTCACAAATTATGCTAAAGGCTTTCGTTGAATTTCAAAGAAACTAGGGAAATCGAGGGGTCATGTTTAAAACCTTCAAAACAAATTCCTACTGCTTCTAAAAAGTCTCACTCTAAATGAAATTATGTTGACTGCCAATGAAAGAATGTCACTAGTACACTGTGGACACCTTTTGTAATGTAAATCCATGCCCTTTGTACATGGTGAACCTCAACCTAGCAATTATTACAACAAATGTTATATTCTAAAGCTCAAACACATTTAGCAATTTGAAATTGAATTCTGAGTACAAACCAAATAAAATATACATTATATCAAAGGATTCAGCCTAGGATGGGGGTGACACTTGCGCCTTCCTCATTGACCTCAGTGCTTTCTCTCGCAGGTGTTTTTCTAGATCATCAAGGTTGTCTTCTGGTTCACTTTCTGTCTCCTTCAAACAAAGACAAAGCATTTCTTCAAACACCGAAAGCTAAGCCAGGCCGCAGCCCCCCCCCCAATACAGTAAATGACCGAGTGATATCACGAGACACTAAGTAGCATTTCTGAAGGAAGATTGCTGCTTAGACCACCAAGAGTACTGTGCACATTCCTCTCCATCTATTTTCTTATAAATTCAAGCACAGGTACCAAATTCCTACCTTTTTGGGTTCTGTCTCTGCTTCCTGCTCTTCCTGTGCAGAGGTGGTATCTGCTGCAGCCACAGCAGCAGCTGCTGCAGCCGCTGCAGCCTTCTCCTTCTTATGTTTTTTGTGTTTCTTGTGCTTTTTATCCTTTTTATGCTTCTTATCCTTCTTTTTCTTCTTCTTCTTTCCACCCCCTTCTTGATCTGAATTCTGTAACAAAACAATTCAACAGATATTACAACTCATTCCTAAGGCTTCCAAATGTTAAAACAAACCCACAACCATCCTGGGAAATGTGAATGGACTGAGCAACATTTGAAATTCAGGAACCTCAACACTGTCTTCAGAACTGGGGGAAAGTCACTTCCCCATCAGCTGGCAGAAGTAATCCTAGAAGACGCACGGCTGCGCTGTGTCTGTTTGAAACAGAACATAAAACACCGTGCAAACTGGACATGCTGGTCACAGGCAAACCTCTTCATAAAAATCAATACTGCAGGTGGAGTCTAACTCCCTCAAACACTCCTCTGGTGTCCCTAGGAAACACCTCAGGAGAACAGGTAAGGATGCCAAACAATCTGTTCTCTTCCCAGGAGGAATAGCCTGAGTTTGTACGTGAGACTACTCAGCATAAATCACACCACCTCACTTTGGAGACCATGAAACTCATGTAATGGGCAAGTTTTTTCTTCCAGAAGTTCAAATATATATAAAATAGCACTTTTTTTTTTCCAGACTGAGATGTTAAGTTTGAAAAAATTATGTTACAAATTGTTTTTAAGGAGTTTTTAACTCCCAAAAAAATAGCTCCAAGGATATTTATTTTTCTCCCCCATGTGAATAAGCTTAGAGCTGTTCAGTAGCCAAGTCTTCATAAAAATAACTTGCCATACACCCTAAACCAGTATTGGTTTTACTAGCAAACAAATACCCTTGCAGGTGACGGGCTCTGAGTTGGGCTTTTAGCCTTTTTTGCAGGTGACCAGTTTGCAGAAGGGGAACGAGATCGAGTAGGAGATGGAGGTCCTTGGTGTTTCTTCGGTGCTTGCTCGGGTGATCCTGATGCAGACCGTGATGAAGAGACTCGTCTCGCAGATCGTGGACTTGGTGTGGAAGCCCTTAAGAACAGAAGAGTCACAATTAGAGATGGAAGAGAAAAAACGAGACAGTAAAAATGAACAAAAAAAGCCAAATTAACATTTATGCTTCTAACTTGGTTCAGCTGCCACTTAACAAGTTATTAGTTACTTTGCTGGTGCATGTTACAAAAGGCAAAACAATCTAATACCACTGTGGATCTGTAACACCAAAGGACACTGCAACTTGATCGCTTGTTGAACAATAACAGCGGTGTTGCTCAGGAATGATTGCTCCCCTCCTTCTGATATGACTAATTTATAACCACATTGAAAGTCAACAGAATAGCAATGCTGTTTTATCATCCAGTGAAGAAAGAGCACAAGACATTACATCCAGCTCCATTCTCTCTCTGAATTAATAAGCCAGCACCACTTTTGACTACCTGCTTTTAAGAGCTGCATCCCACTCAAGAAAACTGTTAAAATTCTAAACGTGCAGGGTTTTTTTCCCCCCCTCTTGGATGACAACTTATGAACTGATTTATGAGCTAATGAAAAGTGTTGGTTCCCTTCTTCAGTTCACTTTAAAATAAGAGAAAGTTCATTTTCCTTCAAACAAAGCTAGCAGCAAAACTTCTCTCAAACTTATTTTCACCTGCTCAGTCCCCGTGCTTTGTTGTGCAATTAAAGACTCCACTAACCCTACATAAAGCCTCTCTAATGCTTCTCCCTGTGTTGAACCTTATTTTAACAGATGCCTCCAATCTAATAAACTTCTGAAAAATCTGTTATGATGGGAGAAGCTGAACAGAGCCACCAAGACTTGAGCAATCCCAAAATACACAAACTATTTTGATGTGATTCCTTAGCTATTCCCACAAAAAAACCCCACACAAAACCCCCAACAACAAAGATGGATTTTTTTACTTTGTCTTCTTAGGTTCTGGTGTTCTTGACACCCTCCTGATGGGTCTAGTGCTTGGAGATGGAGACTGTCTTCTCTGGGGTGAAGCTGAAGCTCCCCTTCGTGGTGGTGGTGGGCTTGCAGAGGTATGAGAAGCTCGAGGCCGTGGTGAAGGTGAATGCCTTTTGTTTTGTGGTGGAGAACGTGTTTCCCGATTGGACCTACTGGGAGGAGATCCCTTCCTGTGCTTGGAAGATATCGAAGGTGAACGCCTTTTAGCGGCTGGTGAGCTCCTTTGTTTTGGCGGCGGTGAATGGGAGACTCTGCGCTTGGACTGTGGAGAAGGTGATGCTCTGCGTTTAGGCGGGGGAGGAGGAGAGGCTGTTCTTCTCTTCGGTGGTGGGGAAGGAGAGTATCGTCTCTGTATTGGTGGAGAGTATCTCCGCGGAGAAGGCGAACGTCTGCGTGGGGGTGGTGATGGAGACCTACAGAGAAAACAAAGGTTCAGGTGCCACAGAGGCATGTGAATTAGTTACAGTGTCTTGCAATTTGTCCAAAGAAGGGAAAAAAATTCCTCTAAAAATTCTTTAAAACTTTACTTAATACCAAACTTTTTCCAGAACCAGCTTTATGGGTTTTATTCATAGCACCTCTCCTATGAGGACAGGCTGAAAGAGTTGGGGCTGTTTAGCCTGGAGAAGAGAAGGCTCAAGGGAGATTATAACGGCCTCCCAGTACCTGAAGGGGCTACAAGAAAGCTGGGGAAGGACTTTTCATAAGGACAACTAATGACAGAACAAGGGGAAATGGATTTAAGCTGAAAGAGGGGAGGTTTAGATGAGATATTAGGAAGAAGTTCTTCACTGTGAGGGTGGTCAGACACTGGAACAGGTTGCCCAAGGGAGTTGTAGATGCCCCCTCCCTGGAAGTGTTGAAGGCCAGGTTGGATGAGGCTTTGAGCAACCTGGTCTAGTGGAAGGTGTCCCTGCTGATGGCAGAGGGGTTGGGACTGGATGATCTTTAAGGTCCCTTCCAACCCAAACCATTCCATGATTCTATGATTCTATTCAGCATTTGATACAGCAATTAAATGATACCCAGCTCACACAGAATCCCACTAGCAAAACTCCATTCCCCTCAGTAACTGTCAATCAAGGAACTGGCTTCCTCATTCACAGCATTTCTTTTCACAGGTCATAGTTGGAAGTCAACAAACCAAAAGCAACCATTTTGTGACAAAAACGCAACACCTCACCTCCGACGAGGTAAGGAAGGGGAGCGCCGTCGCCTAGGAGGAGGGGCGGGTGAAGGAGAGCGTCGCCGCCTGGCTGGTGGGGGTGATGGACTTCTCCTCCTCCTGCTAAAGAGATAAAGGGATTTCTCAGAAAAGTTGCAATTGAGCCATGAGATTCTTTTTTATTCTGCTTTCACTATACAAAACCATCTTGTTCATGCACTTCAAAATGAAATTCTATTAGAAGATGGAAAAAAAATCTATTTGTCTTTCTGAAGAGTGCTGAGACAGCAGATAATTTCACTGTAATTTTCAGAGGTTACTAGAGGAGCCATGAGACCATTTCACATTCTGCTTAACCCCAGCTATTCACATCTTGTAGCCAAAGAGGAAGCCCAACTCTATCCCATTTTCTCCCCCTGAAAGCTCATTCCTGCCATTTCCCTTGCACAGAATCTCCCGATTATCTAATGAGTCACATCAGGTCACTGATCCAACAAGAACATCTCTTCATCGTCAGGCAGTGACGTGACTGCTAGATCAACACAAGGGAGGAATTGGGAATGCCCAGCTGTGTTTTGGATCAGATTAAACAGGGTGAAGCTGTACTTTTGAAAACAGCTTTCATCTCTGGATCTGAAATCCAAAAGGACTTATTTCTTGAAACGCAGAGAAGAATCAAGAGTTCTTGCTAAACTGCAGATATCTGGATTAAATTTATTCCACAAAACGAGCTGTTTTCTGCTCTGTAAGGTTTACAACAGATTTCTGGGATGGGATATTTTAATCAAACACATACTCTCCTAGAGTTTTAAAGGAGAGGAATATTGGTTATTCTGCAAAGTAAAACATTCTTTTTAATTTTTTTTTTTTTAAAGTAATTCAGTGAAAGTGACTGGATGAAGGAAAAAATGAGAGTAATGAAAAAGCAAAGAAGCTCATCTACATAAACTGAGATTTGATTTCAAATACGCTGGCTGTTGTTCTCCAAGCAACGAGTTACACTTTTATAGAGAAGAGTGCTCCAAAAGACAACATTATTTTATGATCCAAAAAAATAACAATCTTCAAATGTCATGGTTGCCCTAATTAAATGTGTATTTACAAAAGAGGCAGTAGGTGAATTTAGTACCTTGCAAAACAGATTAAGATCTCTGAATTCCAATCTGTTTTTACGCAGAATTGTTTGACAAGATCCATAATTAGAATGCTCTACATCTGTAGAAGTAGTCATACTTAATCTCATACACCATTATGTATGCTGCAACTATATTCTAGCTAGGTCTTAATTACAGATTGCTCACAAGGGTCATCAGATCAGATTAATAAACCTATGAAGCACCCAACTTCCTGCACCTTCCTATATTCCGAGATCAACACAGAGCAAACAATTGCGCAAATGAAAGTGTTGACAATGCTGCCTACATAACAAAGAAAATAAAGTAGGTGTTCACTGCTAGTCTACCACTTGTATACTATTAGTAGTTCCAAATATCTAGTGAAGAGAGGAATGAGACTTTTGAAAATTCCCATTATGTGTGATCCAGAACATCAAGAACTTGATCACTTGTTGCAAGTCTACAGAAGGGTTTTAGCCAGAACATTAAGGGCAGCAAGAATACAAAGTATTGCTCACTCACCTTTCAAACCTGTGTATGTGGAGTAAGAAAACTCCCCAAAGAATACAACGTGCAGTTGTTTTCAGGCATCACTTAGATGCTAATGACAGTAATGTCATTAGCTGTTACAGGCTTATGTAAATTAACAAATAGTGAACCATGAAGGAGACGGAGCAGGTGTTCCTCTTTTTTTTCTTTCCCCAGTGAAATGGTCCCAAATCCAACACATTAAGGAACACATCAGTCTGAATTTCCCTCACCTTACTGCTTCGAGTGTGCAAGTCCAAAGGACAAAGGATGGCAAGTACTTATCTATGACAAAATAAATGAGAACTTGTCTAAATGATTTTCTATATGCAAATCTGATTTAACAGATTAATTTCTAACTAACCTTTTCATCACTGGCGACTGCCACCTCTTTTCCATCTGCATCCTGATAGCAGTGGAGGAGAAATAAAACAAAACAAATCTATCTGCCATATATTTGAGGCAAAATTGAACATATTCAAATAAAGTTCAGAGTAATTCTTATCAAATGACCATAACAAGAATTTTGAAACAATCCCAAAACAAGACTGGGCAAACTGGACATGACTTAATTCTGTTGTGTATTTGCTGACAGTTGCACAGCAGATAAATAACATCATTAACTGAATAGTTAGGGAAAAAAAAAAAGACATCACTTAGGTTCAGCTTAAGAAGGAATTACCGAGGGGAGGACTCCTTCTGTCGTTTTCGTGGAGACGGTGATGGACTGCGCGAATGTGAATGGCGTCGGCGTCTACCAACCTCCCCATTCTTCACATTGGATCTTTTAGGTCTTTCCTCTTCAGATGAAGACGAAGAACCAGAATCTATAAACGTAGAAGAATCACTCTCTGGAAAATGATTCTCATGACACCATTAACACAGTTGCTGATAGGGTTATACTGCAGCTTAAAGTACTAAGCTCCTCGCCCCCAAAATAAAAAGTCTCTATTTAAAAGCAGTTAAACTAAAAGTCAAGTGATAAATGAATCCATCAGAACTGGGTAAAAATATTTCCAGCAACCTAAGTGTCCACATAAAATTTTACTATCCAGGTAATTAAAAAGGTGAACAGCAGTTATGTACAGAAACATTAAGTGGACAAAAATCTATACCAGGCCCGGGCTAATTTACTCATCTCAAGGATACAAGAGTCTAAAATATTAGGCAATAACCCATTGCAACAACAGATTAAGTAATTCATAGCAAATACATTTGTGTGTGATGGATGGTAAGAGTTTAAAAGTGCAAATGTTAAAGATGGAAACCAATTATCAAGAGATACACCATAACCTTTAAAAATCATACTTTGTTCTTTGTGAGTAATAATTAAAGTGACCTCATTATCAGTGGTAAATCTAGAATGAAGTTTACAACAGCACTGCAGTGCACAGTAACTTTAGCACAAACAGCAAGTAATTTTAATCAGTATTTCAATTTAACTACTTCCTACAAAAAGCAAACTGCAATCCAGCTCTAGGAAATCTATGAATCTATGCCATCCATACCAGATGAAGACTGTTGATTTTGTCTTCTGTACTGACGCCTCTGCTGAACTGAATCTGCTGCAGCCATTTTACCTCCTTTATCTTCTTCTGCAAAGATAAATACACGGACAGAATATTTAAACTGAAGATAGAAATTTGCCTTATTCAGGCAAAAGCAAAGTCATATTACAGCACATGATTGCATGTATTTTTTTAATTTTTTCTTTTAAGTCTGAAGTTAACATTGAGGCTGGAGTATACTTTGGCTGAGCTTTTATCCAAGAAGAAGCCTGGATATAAATCTTTGAGGTAGTGTGAGTGATCACCTTTATACTTCTGAAAACTCTCACTTACAATGCTGGCCTATTGAGAGAGATGAGCACCTTAACAACTGCCTTTTATTGTCTTGCATCTTTGATTAAAAACCCCACTCAAAAGCAGTGTTGAAAAGTGAAAGCCATACCTGATTCAGACAGTTCTGCTTTCCTTGGTTTTGGTGCTGGCGATGGAGATTCTCTTTTTTCAGTACTCTTATGTTTGGGTGCTAAAAGACAAAATTATTTAATTCAGTTGCAATTTGTTACATTCTTACATGTTTTTCTGCTCATACAAACTGTACGCAGCATCTTTGAGAAAACTAAAGCACAAAGTGATAAAAACCTGCTGGAAGACAATTTATTTGATTACCTGATGCTCTGCCAGGTGAAACAGAGCTACGGCTTTTTCTTGCACGATTCGACTGCTGGGGTGTTGGAGATCTACGTGGTTTTGGAGGTGGACTTGCTGGTGGGGATGGTCTGTGCCTCCGCCTCGGAGGACTTGCAGAAGGAGAGAGTCTACGTGTTTTACGAGGAGGACTGGATACAGTTCTTTTAGGTTGTTTCTTTGGTGGTGATCGGGAACGTGAGGAGGAAGAGGAAGAGCTACTGCCAGATAAGGATGCTGATGACCGTCTTCTCCTGTAAATCAAATATTATCATTAGATTCTGACTAGTCAGCTTAAGAAATGTCTGAGCATCAACATAGAATTGCATTTGTTTGCAAGCACATATATAGAGCCACATACAACAGCACTTCCAAACATGGCTGACAGCCTTCAACACGGTTTGTAGAAGAGAATAACAACCAATCTTTCACAGCTATTTTTAAACTACATAGTGAGTAAAAAAAAATTGTTAGTGTCACCTCTGCTTGCTTTCTGTCAATCTACAGACTACAACTAAGCTTTTCTCCTGGGAGCAATTAGTTTTGTTTGGGCTCTCTACGTTTTGGATGGTTAAGAGAATTCCCTGTGTTAGCACGTGTGATTTAATGATCTTCAGAACACATCTGTTTAAGAGTTTAGGATGCAAGGACACTAAAAAGTTTTTACACCAGAAGATATAAAAATTTCAGACAACTTAACAACTAAACAATTCAGAATCAATCTATCCATTCTTATGCTTTAGTCTTTCATCTTTACTTTGTAATTTTAAAAAGGTAGGGCCTCTAGAATTCTGCGGCAAAATTTGTGGCAAGTTCTGTTGCAATTGTGTACCTGCAGAATCCACCTTTGGCTGCAGAATTCCTGAGAACCTGGAAAAAAGAAACCCTACCTTGAGTGAGATAAACATTTGCTGAAAGGGAGCTCGTACATCTTGCAACATACATGTTTGAAACTTTCCACAGTTTTCCCAGTAACTGTGTGAAATGAGCATCTTTACAAACTCAAAAAAAAAGAAAATAGTCACCACTCTGTCATAAAGAGAAAGAATTATTCCTTCCTAAAAATTAACAACTACTGGACACAGGAAGCATTGCTTTAATTCTCTTCCTCTGCAGAGGACAGGAATCTATCCTCTTCCTATGAAGACAAATGTCTATTTTGATATTGCCATAAGTACAAAATTTTCTTTGCAAGGCAACTCAGAGCTTTGCTACTAGAACAACTGCTTATGCTGTCAAAAATGCAACTGCCAACACCAGAGAGCAGACTTTGAAGATCTTTTTAATTTAAAAAATATGAAGAAGAAATAAATTTTAAGTCAAAATTTCATTTTGATTTTCATTTTACTTGATGGAACAGTAAGTCATAATTTAAAAAACTCCCAACAAGTAAAATCCAGTTACTTGTTCTAATTTTTTCTCCAGACAGAATCAGGAGGGGAAAGAAAAGTCTTAAGCAAAAAAGTACTAAAAGATGTCACGTCAATCTATGCTGGGAGCTGTCCAGAGCCATTGGAAGAAGCTACAGTTCTGAAATTGCCCCTGTTCAAAAAGGTGGAATTCTCATCACTATTTCAACTCAAAAGAAATCATTTCCCAGCTCCTGTTACGTTCCCCCACATCACACTGATGAAATATGACACTGCAGTTTTTACATCACTCATTTCATACACCTGAGAGCACCAAGGTAAGATGAACAAGGTAATTTTGGTAATGCTTGTTCCTCACAACTAATGTTCCCTTCAACTTTCAAAGTTTAATGTTTTCAGTTGTCTCAAAAAAGGGAATCTTACCGCCTCACAGGGGATCTGCTTCTTCTGTGTCTGGGTGGGGGAGGCATTCGCCTCGGAGGGCTCCTCCTCCTTGGAGATGGCCGTCGTCTTGGGCTTGGTCGCCTTCTAGGGGAGTAAGACCTGTCACAATCAAAAATTCAAATGAAAAGCAACTATCTAATTTTCAGAGTTGAGGAAATTTATCCTCAGGGCACTGAGTGTAAAGTTGCTTTTTCCAAGTGCATCATATCAAAGCAGCGTTTAGATGATGATGCAAAGCAGTATGTTCAGACACAGCCAGTGCTTTACAGTTTACCAACACCTTTCTACTAAGAAGTAACATAATAAAAAACAGTCTCTTAAGTCTGCACAACTCCCATAATTTAACAAGCGCCATACCTTGCATTAAGTACACCATTCCTTCTCCAGTCAGTGTTAATCACTGAGCATCTTCTCATTAACTGACAGGAAAAAACCCGAACACGTTTATCCATTGAATGCATCCTTCTCATTTGGCCTAAAACATCCATAGCTCAACATCTCTAAAAACACAACTACTTTAACTGAGAACATGACATTGAGTGGCACCTTCAGAAGAAAATATTCAGTTCTCAACCTTCACAATCAACATAAACTGAAGTCCTACCTTGACCGTGATCTATGACGCCTTCTTGGTCGAGAATGAGATGGAGAACGTGATCGAGATCTTGACCTTGACTTGGACCGAGTTGGGGATCTTTGACGAGTCTTCTCTTTTTCCTTCTCTCTCTCCTTCTTTGAATTACGTTCTGGTGAAGCTTCCTTAGTCTCTGGTACAGGAGGTTCAGGTTTAGGAGCTTTTGGGATATCACTGTTAAAGAATAAAGACACAATATATAAGCACATACAAACCACAGCTGCTGGAGTAACGTTTTAGAAGCTGCCAAGATATTCCCTTACAACGAACATTCTCCTGCCCATTTTCTGACAAGATGTCAGACATCCCACTCCAGAACTGTGAAAAGAATTAGAACGTGGTACAATGATTCAAAGAGGAAAAAAAATAATATACAGGTTATGTGTCAACTTGCTAGAAAATAAGATGACATTGTCAGAAGTGGAAAAGATGACCAGGACAACAAAACTACACTGGCAGCACAGCACTCTCCCTTTAGAATTCTACATAGGACAAAAAAAATTAAAATAAAAATAAAATAATTCTTACTGAAGATGATTAAATAAATTCTTTTGCCATTGCAGGAGGACAGGGAGAGGCAGGCATTCCTCCAAGTCAAGCTCCAAGCAGGTATTAAGATAATTTTGATTTTTTAAAAGGTAATACATAGTTCTAGACACAAAGTTATCACACTTACTTGTTTGAAGTTGCCTCTTGAACAACAGCCTCCTTTGGTTTCACAGAGGGCTCTGGCTCAGGAGTCGCCTCTTTCTTTTCTGGTGCAGGAGTAGCACTGCGGCTCTTGGTTCTGTGATGAGGGGAGCGAGAATGGCTGCGCTTCCGCTCTCTTCTGACAGGCGACGACCTCCTTCGAGGGGAAGGAGACCTTGATTTGCGTCTAGGAAACAGAGGTGCTATTTAATAGCATAACATTAACTAAACGATGAATAGGATAATAAAACCTCTGACACTCAGCAGCTAAAAGCTCTTCTGAATCAGGCAGAATCTCAGTACTATCTACAGCAGTTAAAACACACATAGGACTGCTTTGTATTTTCTGCTAGGAACTGACAGCCAAATTAAGATATCAAACAAACAAAAACCCCTAAAACCAAAAAGAACAAAGCCTGGAACAGATAAACCATTAAAACAGTTCCTAGTGTGAACAATACCTATGTCCAAGTTGCTCTAGTTTACTTGCAATTACTGTTCAGCAGTAAGTCAAGCTTGCCTGCTAAAATAGCTAAGGGGAGTATTTTCAAAGGGGAGTATTTCCAAGGTTCACTTAATTTTTCTCTGCCTTGTGTTCTCCACTCTGTTCTAGAACACTGTTGATATATTGTCTGTGCATTTTCATTACCTTCTGGGACTCCTGGATCTGTCTCTTTTTTCTCGGTTGTCTTTGTCTTCCTTTTCCCTCTTCTCCTTGTCTTCATCTTGTTTCTTCATAGAAGCCAGTTTCTCTTGCTCTATCTATGCAACAAAATATCATCATGTAACTCAGAGGCATCACAAAGACCTTACCAAACGTGTATGTTGAACAACAACAACATAAATACACTGCTTCAGGACCAAGTATGTTGCCCAGACAGAGTTCTGCTGAACACACAATGTCTATTGA